TTCCTCTTAAAATTTTCCACTTATTTGTAATATATATTTGCAACCTCTATAAATAACATCGATATAGCTAATCATGTTCCATTTGAGAATATCTGAGTAGTAACTGTAGCAAATTTTTATACTCTCACCTGAAAAGTGGCTGCCTATATGGACTTTAAAGTACATAGCAAAATTGCTAACAAATATTTTAAATTAAAATAACTCAAAAATGATGAGCACCAGATAACAACAATTCTCGTGAAACTCAACATATTCTTGTGTAGTACCACTTAAAATAAGACATAAAGTATCACTTCCGGTTATAAATTTTATATTTGAATGTTGATTAAATTAGGAAAGATGTTGTCTAGTTTCGGTAGATCAGAAGTGACAGACATCACGAATCACTTTTGTTATACCTAATGGCTGGTACGCACTTCCAAAATTCATTGCTTGCATTTGCTGATTTATGTGTATTTTTTGTAGCAAAATCACAAAATATTTTATTTACAGAGAGAACAAATTATATTTAATTTTTAAAAGATATGATGATATTTGGATGACCACATCTTGATTACAGCACCATCTCTGTTGACTTAGAACAGCAATTTAGGTGGGGATTTGCTCCATAAATGGCCCGATTTGCAGTCTATTTCCACTCTATTCGGTTAACCATCTCGCAGTCTATTATCTATGATGTCTGTTTGTGGTTGTGTTGGCCAATAATTTGTCATATAACCGCAGAGAAATTTTAATGCAAACGGGTAATTCCGGAATTATAAGCTTATCAAAATACTTCCGTAATAAGGGAGACTACTTTAGACATATCCATTTTTAGAATTTATCTAAATGTAAATTGTTATTTATAACTAAGCCAATAATAAAGTCAGAATTGATATCTGCAATTAAATCATCGCCATAAAAATCTCTTTTTGCATACTCGAGAGTTATTTGCAATTGAGATCTAATTAATAGCCGAGTAAGATGCTGCAGCCTTCCCGTATTTAACTCTTTAGCTCGTAAGCGGAGATATCTTCATCTGTGCAGTTACGCCACAAGATTCTCTGTAACGATCTTAGACTTGCGATTTTATGTTGATGATATCTAACTATCATGCTATTTGCTTGTAGATATCGTTGATGCGTCGAAAACTACTCTGTTCTCAATACTCAACCTTGACTTGCGAGTTGTATTCGTGAATTTTCCAATTTGTCCATCTCCAAAAATTGTTGTTGAAAATCTTTTTCGTACGAAAAATTATTTGAAATTTGGACTATTACGCAACAAGATTTGTAGAAGGCTAGTGAAGAGAATAGTGAAGAACGGATAAAGATTTGACAGGCAGAAGAGGAAATGAAGGTAGAGGAGGTGAGCACGGAAGTGCAAGAAGCCCTAAAGAAAACCTGAAATGGAACAGCAGCAGACGAAGATAAGTGGTATGTTATCTTCAGAACACAATTAAATTATCGTCAGAACTACAAAAAAAGGGGACCGACAGTTTGGAATACTGAAACAAAACCCAAAGATTGGGAGAAGTGCATAATCGTGCCAATCCATAAGAAAGTAGAAACAACTATCTGCGAAAGTTACAGATCAATCTGTTTGAATTTCATTTGAAATTCTTAGAAAAATGATTAAGAGTTGATACGGAACAGACTTGAACAAGAATAAACGGCATTCTGGCCTACCAGAAAAACACAAGATCCCATATATAACCTCCGAACTATAATACAGACCTTTCTGGACCTAAAAGCAGCTTTCCACCAGGTAGAGATGTGTGGAATGCATTAAGCGCTCTGGGTACAGTTGTCCTATTACTATTAGAGTTCGACTAAATGGAAAAACATCGGATGAGTTTAGAATGAAAAAGAGAGTTAAGTCTGCACGCTAGACGATGTTATACTAACGTTAGTCAGAGCAGATGTCCGACAAAGAAATATGCAAATATGGAAAACCTGCAAACAAGAGAAAGAAATGATAATAAACAGTAACAAAAGCAAGTCAAGAGATTCGCAATAGAATAGCTATACCAAGTGTTACCAGATAAATAATACCCTAATAGGTAATATCCTGGTAGGAAGTTAATAGGCTAGATGCTCATTAGGCAGCCTAGTCACGGCGTCCACCGAAATCCCATAAGCATAATGTAATTGTGCTTAGATATCAGTGGTGTCTGCCGGCTGGGCACCCTGGCTTGAGTGACAAATGTATATCTAGCCATAAGTAAGCAAAATTACTTCTCTACAAAACTATCTATATACTCACATTCACCTATTGGTCGGAATCTTGGACCATGTTACATATTGGACAATAAAGTCATTATTATTATTATATCAAAAATAGGTGCAGAAGAGATGAAGTATCTACGAAAAATAGTATGATAAACTAGTAGAGACAGAGTAGGAAACAAGAACGTCAGAGAAGTACTAAGCTTGAGAGATTAGTACTTCTCTAATGCTAGAAATAGAAGAACAGCTGAAATGATGTTTCCACCTGGTTCAAATGGAGGAGGAAAAAATATAAAAGAAAATGTTCAATATGAAACCAGAAAGAAAAAGAAGATGAGGTAGACCAAGAAACCAATGGTAAGAAGTAACTTGACGTTGAAAAGGCGGAAAAGTGTTGCCGAGGAATTGCTAGAGAGAGAGGAATCATGGATCCCAGAACTAATACCGTGAGGTAAAATGGGAAAGAAGAAAAAATAGCTGTAAAGTAACAATTTGTCAGCGTGTGTTGAAAGATACATCATATAGTCAAATTTTTTTAAATGAGTATTTGTGAAATAAGCTGCTTTCAAAACTGTCGACAATGATTGATCAGATCTTGCAGCTCTTTAACTATACTCATTAAGAATCGGTTTGAAATGCCTGCAATAGTGGCTAACGAATATTTTAATTAAAGTTTCACAATTAACTCTTAAACTACTGAATTACTTAGAGCAACTAAGAATACCGCGTAGATATACGGACGGAGCAGGGCAAGGGTTAATAAATTGCAATTGTACAAGACTTTTTGGTCTTCTTTGGTGTCCCAATAGTATTTTTAACGACACACTACATTTATTTTAAAATGATACTTTTAATTTGTTTAATTTAATACTTTATTCTGGAAGGTTACAATTTTAATGTGCAATTGAATCAGGCCCATAACGTATCTACATACATTCAGTTATTTCCAGATATAGTGCTCATCTTTTCTCTTCAACATGGTCAAGATAACAAACAGATTATAAACCTTCTGAAGATATGGGTTTATAAAGATATATTTATATCTTGGGGTGAATTAGGTTGTTTAAAGTCTAACATTTTCATATTCGAGAGAAAAGTTGTCAGAAGTCAAAAGAAATCCTTTTTTAAGTTTGTGTGATTTTTTTAATACAGTCATAAAGGTGAGTTTAGACATGCATGAATTTAGTGGCGTCAATAAAAACTGGCGCGCCGGTAAAATTAAATTGCATGTGTAAACATCAACTGGCATGCAAGTTGAAATCATGCATGCATGGATTGGAAAAGTCTGCACCCTTTTAAAATCACTGGTGCCAGTGATGACAAATATGTGCAGCAAAACAAAATTTACGGGTGAAAACAAATGCTTGCACATCGGCCCGCCAGTTTTTAGTTAGATTTTTGTTTCGTTTGAGGTCTTAATTTGTGTTTATTGTAGTTTATATAGTTTATTATGGCTAAAAAAAAAGTGGTCGGCTGAACTGAAAATCAAATTTCTTGAAGGCTATAAATCTCATCCGTGTTTATGGAATGTACATAGTAGTGCTTATCAGAACACAATACACAAGAGTATCAAAATTTTGTTTTGTCATTCGTAAATGATTTTTATAGTATGCAGAATCTTCTGCTGCGAGTTCTCGTAGAAGTTTTGCAGAAGCACCCAAAAAGTTTGGCGACTATTTTGCATGCTTCGGAAAGTTCACTCGACATATTGCGCACTGTGCAATACACTTTAAAAACGAAATTGGCGTGTCACTTATTTTTGTTTTCGCACATGTAGTGTTAAACCTTTATTGGCGTGCAAATAGAACTGGCGCCACTAAATCCATGCATGTCTAAACTCACCTTAATGCTGTCTTTAGACACACCGAGGTTGAGCTAGCTAAGTTGTCGCCTCCTCAAAATCATTAATGGAGAACAAAATAAAGCAAGTTTTGAAATAATATTAGTTTATTTAAACGTAGAAATCTTGCCAGTTTATTTCAAAATATAAATGTTATTTTGACAGGTTTTGTCAAGCATGACTAATTGAATTATGGTGAGCAAATTTTAATGATATCAGAAGGAACACAATATGATGAAATACAGCAACTGGAATGTTATATTTTTAATACTCGTGTACAAATTAATAATTACAATTTGAGGAAGGAGTGATAAAATCATGATACACAAAGAGAAGTATCTATTAGCGCCATCTATTTATTTAAATCTCGACAAATAATTTATGTGCCATTTTCTTTTTGTGTGCACTAGCACCATCTATTTAAATCTATTAAGTCTAAAAGATCCAGTTTTTATTTGATGTTTTTTACTTTTTTTGATACTACTATGGTTTGATAATTTAATATGGAAGTTGCACTAAAGGATTTTGATTTATAATGACATTACTTTTTTATATAGTCTGGCTTGTTTCTGAATTCTTTTCAAATTACTGTTATGAAGATGGTAACAGATCAGAATTAGAGTCAACATTGTTGGGAACATTGAAAACATGTTTATGTCAGATAAATTAGAGGAATCTTGATGATTACCATTGAGAGTAGTTACTAAAAGATGTAGGTATGCGTAAAATAATCAACACAGGTAATTCAAGATATTTTAATAAGTAAATATTTATTTATATAGTTCTATTTTTCCCAGTTAATGAAGTTGCTGTGAGCCCACAATTTTCAGCTCGATAAAAATGTCTTTGTTATAGATTCAAATTTGAAATAGCTAGCCCATTTAACTCTTTTTATTTTTTTTTTTGCTTTCTTTATTGCGAACAATGTATTTTACCTTAAAAAGAGATCTTACCTTCATTTTCAGCGGGATAACATTCAGAATGAGCATCAATTCCGAAGTCCCATTGTTGACCTTCATGTTCAACATCTGATTCGGATTTAACTTCGAACTCTTCCGCATTTGGATTCAGTAAAGCCCCCGTTCCACCAGTAACCTACAAACATTCAATAACAAAGTGAACTCAATAAGTTTTATTTTTATTTAACTGTGGTTTATTTTATATATTTTATTAAATTTTTTTGAATTTATTAATTTAATTCTTACTTGTTGATATTGAGTATTGAAACAACAGTATGTAGGCGTATAAAAATTGTAAAAACCCGTACGAAACATAATAAGTTACAATAACTGTGGCCTACGACAAAAAAATACTGCGCCGTCGTTCTTATCGCATATCGGAAAATCGGCGCAAACGTTTTAAAACGTTACGAACTATGGTTCTTACGAAAACTTATGAATGACATACTTCGTAAATCGCACTCGTAAATTATGCCACCAACCAACCGCTCTCAGAGCACGTTTCTATCTCTAGCCACTGATCAGTCTGCAAGGGAAAGTATTATATGCTCAAGAATCTAAACTTCCTGATTCTTAAAACCGACTATCTAACACCGCAATTTCTTTTAAAAAAATCAAAACCAATTTTAAAATAATTACTTCAAAACTATTTATTAAATAAAACGCAACGTGGTATGAAAAATAAAAATTGACCATGATGATTATTTTTTTAAAACAATTTTACCAACCTGTTTGAAAAATAAAAGTTCGTGTTCGTATTCGTGAATCCGATCGACTAGAGTTTCCATTTCTCGGTTTTCCCACAGTTTCACTGATTGGGAAATCCTCCGTTTTTAAACGTAAAGTCAACGTGAAAAAAGAGCGGCAATAAAAATCGAAAAATTACATAGCACAACTAATAATAAGTAGAAACACGACGACCACGAGGTATCTCGACGGCGCAAACCGGACTGCTATTGCGGTTTTTACTTGACGACACAACAACAACGTGTACACACGTAGTATATTTTGATAACTGATAACTTTGGTCGGAGTCGTCGTTGTCGTTGTCGAGTAGGGAAAGTAAAACGTGTTAGAGGTAGAGGGAATGAAACGAAAACCGCACGTTTTAATAACCGCCTTACTACATATTTCGTTTCGCGGTAACCTTTACACAACAAGAAGTTGAATTATTATTGCTTTTGGTCTAGACTTAAGATTTTCCCACTTCATTGAGGTTTTATATAGGTTATTTCAAAAGTTATACGAAATAACAAACATTTTATATATTGCGATATTTATTAATACTCTAACGAATCCCAAGATTGTGATCAAAAAAGAATGATTATATCAATAGTTCACGTTTTTACTATAAATATATATTATTTATATCTATCTAAAGACTTCAACAATTGTTTTGTTAAGATAAGAAAAACTTTAAAAATATCTTCCTCAAATCATGGTTAGATGAATTCATCAATTAAGTCTTGAACGGCATTCTTTCATAATCAAATATGATAAGAAAACTCATTTATAGTGTTTTTAAAACAGTAATTAATCCGTAATAAAGCTCATTATAACATCTTGCATGATCAAATTTAAGATTATTCCCTCTAAATTTTATTTAATTTTATGTTGTTATATATATTCTTTTTTTGATTTTCTCTAAATAATTAACTTGGCATAATTTTCTAAATTACATCATAAACAACATTCTTTTATTACTCTTTCACATTTTTATTGCTGAATTCCAATTATTAACTAACTTTTTAGATACACTTAAAATCCACACTTAAATATAAAAAAGAAGTAAATTTCAAAATTTTTTTCTCTTATCTTGGTTAAGATGGCCTAATTTCATCGATTAAATCTTAAATAGCGTTCTTTTATCTACGATTTTTGATATATTCGTTGAATAATCCCGATTAATAATTAATTTCTATCGTTTTTAGTTTTTAAGCATCATCTAAAATTCTTCATTTAAATTTCAAATCAAGGTTAAATATAAACAATTATTTCTAAAGTCATGGTTATGATGGAATAATTTCGTCGATTAAATCTTAAAGAGCTTTCTTTTATCTACAATCTATGTAGGGCTCGCTTTTAGAATACATACCTGTTTTCTAAATGTATAAATTTGATTTTTGATAGAAATTTCCCCGTCGTTTATACTCAAGTCAAGAAGAACCCCAGGCTAACCTTTGAAACTCTAACTACCTTGAAGTATTAAAACACAAATCAATTTAATAATAACAAAATCAACGATTAGTGTATATAATCTTTTTCTAAGCTGATAAATTTTAATTACATTAGGCATTTCTTGCTTCCTGCTTATTTTTTTCGTCATTAAAAAAATAAAAGGGTTATGTATGTATGATCTCACTTTTCAACGATTATAACAAATTAATACTTTAATTAATATTAGTCGACCGATAGTTTAGTTAATGGACATAAATATATTAAGGGCCGGTTGTACAATATTCCGATATATCTGCCTGATAACTATCCGGCCGGTAAACTTATCGAGAGGATTAAGATATTCGTTGTTGTACAAACTGTTTTTGTCGGGAGGAATGCTATCGGCTAAATAAGACTCGGTTGGCAGTGCTTTTTCCCCATATCTAGTAATTTGTGGCGTAGGTTGGTAACGCTAACGTCTTTCTTTGAAATTTGAACTAATTTTGACTATAATACAATTGTGTAAACTGTGCAATTAGCATCTTGCAACATGGCATATGGCAGAGTGGGATAAAACGAATTTTTTAAACGGTTTTGGTTAACTAAAAAAGTGTTATGTACGTATTAGGATGAATTGTGGATAGGTTGGAAACTTCCAGAGATAGGTAAGTAGAAATTGGAAAAAAATCTATGACAGAATTCAATACCAAAGTTTATAAGTACTATATTTTTTATGTATTATACAAACGCATCTGTAACTCCTAAAAATCAGTTTGTTACAGACACTTCGTTATTTTGCTACTGAGAAACGAATTTATTTATTTCCCGCAAGATCCACAGGAAATAGATAGAATATGCGAAAAATTTTATGCAATGGTAAGATTTTCTCAAGTTATAGGATCAATTGATTGCACACATATCAAGATTCAGTCACCATGTTTGCATTATTAATGTGTCGTAAATACTATGTATTTTTAGGTGATCACGCGGAAAATTTTAGAAACAGAAAAGGGTATTATTCGTTCAATGTCCAAACAATTTGCGATGCCAGTTTGTCTATAAGAGATATAGTGGCTCGATGGCCTGGCCCAAACCACGCTCAAACCATATTCAACGCGTCGATCATAAAAGCCAGGTTTGAACGAGGCGACTTTCAAAATAAAATATTATTGTACAATATACCCACAATATACCGATAAATCTACATCTAAAATAAAAACCTTGGTAACCATATAAATATCTGGCGGATAACTTCTCGGCACCGCTGAGTACCCGATAAATTATCCTGCCGTTAATCTCACTGATAAAAATATCCGTACATTGTAATACAAACTAACTTATCGGCCAGATAACGGTATCGGGAAGTTTATCAGCATATTGTACAAGCGGCCCTTAGTTTAATTTAAGGTGCATACACAACACAATTGCAGATGCACTCGATTTTTTAATCAAAAGGAGTCAATGTTCACTTATAATGAAAATAGCGCGGTATAAGTATATGTATAAAAGATTAACAACTCGATTTTTTAATCAAAAAGAGTTAATGTCCACTTATAATGAAAATAACGCGGTATAAGTATATGTATATAAGATTAACAACTCGATTTTTTAATCAAAAGGAATCGACATGTACGTATGATAAAAATATCGCGGAACTATCGTTCTACTGCGATAATATCACTCAGCTTCGGTCGCTTTTGAGATCGCTAGGAATTTTGATATTTTCCAGTTGGCATCTTTACATTCCTCCCCAAATTCAGATTGATTAGATCTTTGGTCAACTCTAATCACTTGTGTTTGGGTTGGAAATTGGAATACTCTGTACTACTTCAAACTATTTTCGAGTGTCGGTTAATAAATTACCGCTACTATGGTAATTTATTATAATTAAAGGATAAGGTTTGATCCAAATCGACAAAAAAAAAAGTCCTAATTTATTATAAGATTTCCTAAAGTAGTAATATATTTTAATTATTAATTTGTATTTTTTAGGTCAAAATATTCAACAAAAATGGCTGAAGGCATCGTCTAAACGAAGGAGATACATATATTTCGAAAAACTACTGTTTCTACTGCGCTCTATAGAAGAAAGGCCCATTGAGAGTAATCTACCATAAGTGGAAACGGCTGAGTTGGAAAATCCTAATTTGAAAGAAATTGCTACCGATACTCCTACTAGAAATCCTGCTAGCTCTACAATGAAGAACCAACAAATCTAAGATGGAGACACCACGAATTCGACTCTTAGCAGGACTAGAGGCCCTTCAGCAAGAAACAGATGAAGGAGGGCACTCATTTTGCTTTGTCTTTAGTTCCTCAATTACGTTCTTTCTCAGAGTACTTAAAATTAATAATTTTACAACAAATTAAAAGAAGGGGATCACTGAACTTTACACAATTCCACAACAATAGTTTACCTACAGGTCTATTATAGTAGTAACAACAGAGTATCCCCCATCCAACTTCCCTAATTCCTATTTCTATATACGTAGTTAGTTCTTCCCTAGTTATTACTCCCCTAACTCCTATTTTCAACTGTTCTTTTGAACACTCTATATTTCCGCCAATCTGGCGAATCGTCCATGTTATTCCTATCCCAAAAATTAAATCTCCGTCTCATGTTGGTGAATTTCGACCCATTTCTATTCTATCTACGTTATCAAAAACTATTGAACGTTTAGCTTATTGACAGATTCAGAAATATCTTGAGGAGTTTAATCTAATTAACAAGTTCCAGTCTGGCTTTCGTGAAGGACATGGTACCACTACAGCACTGATTAAGATCACCGATGATATTAGATCTGCTTGTGATAAGCGTTGTGTTACCTTGCTAGTGTTACTTAATTTTAGTAACGCCTTTGATTCTGTGGACCATGCCCTCCTGTTAACTAGGCTTTCTGCTATTGGTTTTACCTTTTCTTGTGTATCTTGGTTCCACTCCTACCTTTCCTATCGGTCTCTACGTATCCGCGTGGAATCTGTACTCTCTTCTCCTGTTGACATCACATGTGGAGTTCCTCAGGGCAGTGTGCTGGGTCCTTTGTTCTTCTCAATTTTCATAAATAGTATTAGTGATGGTATCTCGTGTAACTATCATTTGTATGCAGATGACCTTCAACTTTATATTTTGTCAACTGTTCCCAGATGCTTTGTTGCATCTTAACAACGATCTCTCTAGTGTACATGACCGGTCTAGACGTCATGGACTTAATCTGAATCCAGGTAAAACGCAAGCCATTGCATTTGGCACTCGGCCCTTGCTAGCACAATTTAATTCCTTAACTACCCTTCAACTGAGGCTTGGCGACACCGTTATTCCGTTTTCTAATACGGTCAAAAATCTTGGTGTGGTAATGGATTCGGCGATGTTTTGGCAGCCACAAGTTCAGGGAGTCTGTAAGAGGGTTAGTTCTGTTTCCATACTTTGAAAAACTTCGCTGCTACCTTCCTCCTGTTGTACGTCGTAATCTTTGTTACTCTCTCATTTTCCCACACATTGATTATGCCGATGCTGCGTATCCCGATCTGTCCGCAGCCCTTCGGGGTAAATTGGAAAGACTTCAGAACAATTGTATACGGTACATTTTTGATTTAGGAAAGTTTCAACAACCTGCAGATGATGACTTGCCAGAGTCGTAGATACGAAATGTATGCTTACTATGTAATGTAAAATTGTCCATACCCGCACTCGTGCTTATTTGTCTGATGCCTTTCACTTTTTAGCATCACATGATTTGCCCACTCGACCAATGACGGATTCTTCACTCATGTTTCCAGTTCATAACTGAAATC